ATATATATATATATAAAACAACGATATATATGATAATTAAAAAAAAGAAAATTTATGGAAACTGGAATATCATAAATATATATTTCATTTTCTACCTCTATGATTAAATATTTTGATAGCACATGCTAAACTAAAATAAGAACTCGAAATAATAATACCTAAATACAAAAACCTTAACGATAAATATAGACAATATACCATTTATCAAAAAATATACCATAAATTCATTAAAAAAAACTTGAATATAAATAAGATTTTTATATAAATTATACAATTATAGAGAGGAGGAATATCAAGATTCATTAAAAAAAAATTATTTAATTCCAAAAATAGATACTTGTTTGAACATCAATGTTATTATATTGTACATTTTTGATGAGAAACTGTATTATTCTGTAAAGTATGGGTAATGTAAGTTTGAATAGTTATAATAAAAAATATACAATTTAACATTTTTATATTACTAATTCCATAAACATGAAAAATTAATTTTCAGAGGAATCTTAATTTCGTTATACTAATTTTATTTTTTATTAGTATGGAGTCATAGAAAATTTTAATAAATATAATAAAATAATAGAAAAATTCAAATTTATTGATCATAACCATGATTTTTCAAGTAAATGTAAGAATATTCTTGATAAGTTTCCAAAAGAAATTGGATTTGGTTATATGGAAATGTGCTTTAAAGCGATATCATATTTAGATTATATAAATAGGAGTGGAGAAGGAATATCTACTGAACCTGTTTGTAAATACTTATATTTTTGGATATATCATTATTTTAAAAAAAATTCTCATACTATGCATTCAAAAAACTTTTATAAAGAAGTTCTTAATGAAGACAGTTATAGTATTATATTTAGAACATGCTTTAATTATTCGGAAACCATTCCAGAAAATGAACTGGAAAATATGAAATATATATATGATATGAAAAATAAGATTAATGATATAAAAACGTCTACTTTTACATCTTGCTCTGGGAATAAATGCTTATGTGCTCAAGAATATGCAGACATATATTTGAACTCAATGAAAGTTTGTGGAATAAATTATAACTCTGATTTTTGTAATGAAATAAAAAACATTAGAAATGAATTTCTTGAATTAGAATTACCCAATAATTGTCCAGTTCATATTCCAGAAATAATATATTCCTTGCATAGAACTAAAATACAAGTCCCTATAATAGTCACATTTTTGGTAATATTCGTAATATGTATGATCATATTTATTGTTTGTAAGGTTAATTATGATATTTTTTATACATATTTACACAACGAACTCATTTTTCTGTATAATTTAATAACAAATATTTCTTTCCAAAAAAAATATATGCTGAATTGAATAATTATTTTATATTATGAGATAGTTCACCCCATATTCTTCCTGGTTTCATGGTGCAATAAAAATTGTAAAAAATAAGTTGAAAAATATACATGAAGAAAAGAATATAGTGCAGAATTATGAAAGATATAACATAGATTTAGGCTATAGAAGATATTCTGTATTATATTATTCTTCCTAACTATACCGTCGCATTTAAAATTAAATAAATATGCCTTTCTTATACAATCTAAAAAATGATGTATGGAAATTATATTGTGCCCATAATTTTTAATAGTTTTATATGAGTATTAAATAATATTTATAATTTCAAAAGATATATTAATATATTGTTCCAAAAAGGAAAAAAAAAAAAAAAATAGCATAATAATATTAAAAATGTAATATGATAACTGTATGAATAGTGAGCTATGATACTATTTGTAACTATATTATAAATATAGTTTAAATTTATATATTTTCTTGCAAAAGTATGATATAATTAATATTTAAAAAAATATATTATAAATAAAGTAACAATATAACATATATGTTAATTTAATAGTGTAAATGGTAATTGCTGATGTATAATAATTTTATACAGCTGGTATGAAATATTTCAATATACATTTTATTCGCTTGTTGTATAAAATTATTTAAAATTGCATTCATAATTAAATTATGTATATATCATTTATATTTTATGTTAATTTTTTTTAATTTTTTTTATTTATTATAAATAATAGAAAAAGTTTTTTAAAATACATTATTAGAAACTACTGAAAATATATTTGAATAACATGATATATATGTAGAAATATTCTTACATTATACAAGAATTATAATTATAAGTTTCAATGTTCATTATACATTAATATAAATTTTTTTATTTAACATGTTATCTGATTATAAACTAGTATAAATATCATACAGAATGTATAAATACTAACTATTTATGTATAATCTCCAAAATAAAACATACGAAAAAAATCATCTCCTTAGATATCATAATGATAAAATTATACCTATATATATTATTATCTATAAAAATTTATATACAGAAAATAAAATATATTGATAAAATTACAAAAAACGCATTTATTCTCATTGAATTTATATATATTTATTTAAAAATACTAGGTATAATTAATATGTAACAGAATAATTAAAATAAGTGAATCTAATATTATAAATCTGCAATCTGTAAATATAGTAAGGATATCAAAATTAGTAAAATATATGAATGAGAACTGTTATGAGGTGATAGCATATGTTTAAAGGATATTTGGAGATAAAAACACATATTCTACATGTTATAACCAATTTACATATAATTATGATATTAATGAATTATTTATAGAATGAACGTTTAAAAAATTACATATAATATAGAATAATAAATTATATATTATAATAGCATAAAGAGATTTTTTTTTTATTATATTTTTACGCGTTAGAATTAATTTAATAAAATTTAATTATTAATAAGTATGAATGAAAAAAATAAACATATATTACTTGTTTATAAAACATAATTATGAAATATATTTATTTATAAGAATCAATTATAATAAATTAAGTATTACATGAAATAAATTTGAATAAGCATGTATTCTAAGCCCTGGAAATGGACCACTACCTTACAATTAAAATGTTAAAACTAAAAATAAATCTTGATACCCTTTACTCTTATATTTTTATTATCGATATAATTCTTTTTATCTCAATAATGTGTTTATAGTTTTCATTTTTTCACTAAAATCTTTGAGAAAATATATTACATATAATAAATAATTTCTACTGGATATTGTTCAGCACAAAAGATAATGATTACACTAATCGATGGTTTTTTATATCAATTGTATAATTATAATGAAGAGAAAAGAAATATTTCATAATATCATGTATAACTGTATTTAATTATTGATATTTATACGCTTAAATACATAATTTATTCATATGGTTTATCTATAAATTATTATAATAAAAATTAAGATGTTAGAAACTATGGTACTTCTTAATTATTATAATATAAATTAAGTTATTTATATAACTGTACATGAAATTTTTATTGTGTACTGTAATATATGTTTAGAATTATATAATTTTTGACAGAAATTTTTTTTCGTTTTTATTTTTAGTTTGAATATATAGAATTATTTCCTAAATGTGAAGAAATTATAGATAAATGTAAAGATAATTATAAGAAAGAATCTATTTCTTATGGGTGTAATACAATCAAAAGTGAATATGAAGACGTTATTAATTCTAATTTAGAAGATCTGTGTGGTCAGTCTATGAAATATTTAAACGAAATAACTATTAAAAATGATATATCATTAGAAAAAGCTGGATTTACATATTTTTACTATTGGTTGTATATGTATAAAGTAAAGAAGACGAAAACAAGTGATGATATAAAACCATTATATATGAAATTGATCAATTTATTTAATGATATTTATAATCATACTTCCTTGAATTATTATGCAGAATATAATTTTACTGATGCACAATTGCAAAATCTCAAAAATTTATTTGAAATGCAAAAAACTCTTATTTTAATAAAAGCTAAATGCAAACCTAATGAGAATTATATTTTTTGTAATGCAATAAAAAATATTATAGATGAATATAATTCTGCAAAAAAAATAGAACCTAGAGAAACTTATACACCAAAAGAATTAAACAATTGCAAATATAACATTTCAATTCCCATTTTAACTACAATTGGTATAATGTTATTAATAATATCTCTGGGGGTTATTGTATATAAGGTTAATAATGATATTATTTATAGATATTTATAATGTAAATTTTTTTCTTCAAATAATTAAGAAAAATAAAACACAATTATCTTTATAGTATTATATTTTTAGTGCATAAATTTTGTTTATAATAAATTAGTTTACCCCATATGATTCATGGTTAACCCATAGTGTAAAAGGGAAAAGGAACGTTTGTAATAATGAATATGACGTATGGAATAAAATTCAAACACCTGACACATCTAGCACTATTTCCTGTAATGAGAAGTATAACATATTATATAATTATTCTTAGTTAGACCATTTAGTGCATGATTCGAAGAAAATGATTTATTTAATCTTCATTTAATAGGATATTATTAAATAATTTGAGAGCTGATCTTATTAAAACATGATATATGAATTATATAGTATTGTACAAGATAATAGTGCAAAAGAAAATAACAATTCGAAATTACAATTAAATAAATTTGTTCAAAATTATGTATATTTATAGCATTCAATATTACTTCCTAATATTAAATGAGTACTTTCAAAATTTATAACTAGAAAATAATTACTAATTTTAAATTTCATTTGTCTTTGTAATTTTTCTAATATGCTTTAGCAACAATAATGTTATATTCCCCAAATTTTTATAACATTAATATGTAATATTTTATTAAAAATAAAGTTTTATTAGAACATTGAAAACACGAGCATTAACATATTATTTATTTGTTGTATTTTAATTTGTTTTATTCTCTATGATTACTTATCTAAATATGTTTCTTTTTTTTTGGTTTTTTGTCATTTAATTTATGTCGTAAAATTTTACAATTTACACTATACCATATTTTTTTCTTGAATGAACATTATTTGAAATAAAAAAAATAAGTATTCATTTTGTTAAATAAAAATATAATTTGTTACCATTTTTTTATGTAAAATATGAGAAATCGATAAATAAAATTTAAATTCTAAATATTTCATATACTCTTAACTAAGGTTACATTGTAAAATACTATATAAATAATTCAAATTTAATGAAATATTATATTTATCATGGATATTCTGAATTATAATAGAAATAAGAAAAATTCATACGTCTATTTTGATCCATATATGAACATAATGTTAGAATAAATAGTATATTCTTTATGCAATTTTACGAAGAACAAAAATAATAAAAATATTAACGTCGTTTTAAAGTAATATATATGGGAAAGAGATAAAATGATATTTGAAAAAATTTAAGAATATAAAAATTAATTAATATGTAAAGAAAAGAATATTTTCACCTAATATCCATGGTTCGCCATTTTAGCAATACAAGAAATTTGATCATTAAAAATTGGTTGTAATATACATATTTAAAAGTACATTGTTACATTTTGGAGGAAATATAAATTATATTTTAATTATAATGAATACAAATAATGTTAGTTTATGTTTATTTCCTTATAAAATAAAGAAACTTATGCGTCATTACTATAGTCACTTAGTCTCTTATTTTATATATACCTGATATAATAATTTTGATATTTACTTAAATAAAAAATTGTAATAATAAAATAAAAGGAGCTTTTATCAGGAGAAATTAAATATATTTAATAACATAAAATTATTTAAATACATATTTGTATAATTTTTTATGATATTTACGTAAATACTGCACATTTATACTTTAATAAGCTCTGTACATAACTAATAAGATTTTCTATTTGTAGAAAACTTATTTGTTTTGTCACAACATATACTAATAAAATTGTTTTAAGCAAAAAATAACATAAATTAGAAATTTTAAGGAAACACATAATTTTAAAATTTTGTTATGCACTATGACATAAGTAAAACTATGAATCATATAAATTCTAAGGATTCTTATGAATACATTGGTTTTTACTTGATTATGTTTAATATATTTTGCGTATTCATATAAATATAAGCAATAGTTGGTTTAATATTTGATTATATAAATAATAAGAACACAGAAATTATTTGATTTATAAGATATATTTAAATTGTTATAAATGAAATTCCCCATTCAATTTATTTTTCTTTCATTTCGTGTTTTCCTATTTCAAAACAATTTTTTGCGATATATATATTTTTTTTTAAAAGTATGGTAATAAATATGGTAAAAAGTATAAATTTTATTTATTTAAAAATATGTGCTCTTACAATAAAGATAATATATACTTTCGAACAGCAAGTAGAAATATTCATAAACATCATATATTTTCATGAGTCCAAAGCATTACACTTTTGATCATTAAAATAGAATATATAAATAAGTGATAAGTCTCATGTTCCTTATATTATTGTTTAAAAAATAAGTGATCTTATAAAAATCTTATATATTTTTATAATTTATTATGATTTGCTATGAATATATAACATACATTCAATATTGAATAAATCCAAGTCTGCATAGAACTTTATAATATGTTATATATTATAACATATAACTAACTAGAGATTAATAAATTTGATATAATTATTGTTTTAATTTCTTAAATATAATATATAGAGTATATACATTGTTTTGATGTACACTCTAATCATGTTCTATTGTTTTGTTCAAATGTGATTTTAATTGTAATAATAATCTTTAAAGAAATAGAATTATATCCAAATTTTTGACAAACTTAACCTTTGAATAATGTACAACAGAAATAGTTAATGAATTTATTGTATTCAAAAATTTATCTTTTATGACATGTGTTTTTATTACATGGTTAATGTTTGTGTAGTTAGATATAATGCATGAGAAATCATTTAAAGTGTAGAAAATACTATGAGCCTAATATTTTATGGATAAAGACAGTTTATATATGTATATAATTAAAATTATCTATGTAAATTATAATTAAATTTTTATCGAAAAGCAAATATATGCTTAACTTATGCATAAATTAAAAATAAACACATATATTAATTTACATCATAAGGGAGGCTGATTCCGTAGGACGTTAGTATTTTTACATTTTTAATTATGTTATAAATAAAAGTCATGTTAATCAAATTATGAATGTACATATGACACAAAAAAAAATATATTTGGCAAAATTGGAAAAAATATCCTCAAAATGCAACGTAACTATATAGGGTTAAATTTTAGTACTTGTCAAGAAACACAATTGTTACTCCAATATAGAATTCGTTAGAAGCAATATATATACGTATTATGCGATTTCACATATACTGCTATATTTTTCTTTTCATCCTGTTGATACCAGTTTTGGTTGTAAAAACAGATAAGATATTATGTGTTTTCCCCTCTTTTCAAAAGGCCAGTATATATTTTACAATATTTTTATTCTTATAGACCTTAAATCATTGAAAAAAGACATAAGAAAAAAAATGGAATCATATAATCTTGAGAAAGAACGGTAAAAAAAAAAAGTCTTATAATGTATAACACATGTGTGATTTTCATTTAAGAGTTATTGGGGGCTGACCGAATAAAAATAAAAGGGGTTTCATAGAGTTAGTAACATTAGCTGTATTAAGATCACCACGCTCAATATTATGTAATAATATACATAAGTTTCTGTGCTGTCTCATCTACATGAGCATCCAAATCTTCGCTTATTCTTTCACATGAAACATTTAAGAATAATCATTTTACTATATTTTAAACGCCAATTGAGAGTGAATGAAAGCAAAGGTATACTAAGCATATTTTATAAACAGTTTTTATTTAATTATATCAAAGCGTTTTGATAAAAAATATAATATGTTTAAGTCAAAAATTTCCTGCGCATGTATTTATACACAACCACATAAAGGTCTAAATACACTTTTCATATGCTTGTGTAGGCTCGTATAAATGGCACTCTAAATGCTTGTATATAAATTGGAAAAATAAAAGTGATATAATGAGTTTTATAAAAAAATATAATTTTTATGTTACTAATGACACCCAAAATGTGCAGGAACAGACGTGTGAGGAATATATCCCATTGTTATTCCTAACTCGTATTTCAAGATGAGATTTCATGGGGTCATTGAATCTAAGGAAATATATAAGTAAGAAACAGGAATATTCCGCAGATATGTTCATGAATAAATGTTTGATGCATGTACTCCATGGTTTTGAAAACGACATGATTGTTTTCACGTTGCTAAAAAATTTTGCCTAGAAGACAAAATGACTTAATAAATGGGATACATTTACATACACACACCTTCCTATATCTATGTGTTTAATAACAATGATACATACATTAGATGAATGAAGAGATTGAGAAATATTCCTGAGCGCAGATGGGTCCTGTGAGGTTAGTTGTGAAGATTCCCACATCCCAAATGTCTAATAGATAAAAATGATAACATATTAGATATCTGAATTTTTAACGTTCTAATTTTTAATATAAATTGAAGTGAATTATATATTCACTTATTTTGTTCATGGATTAACTGTATTTTGGATTCCTAAATGTAAGAAAATTCCAGTTTGCGGTGGAAAAGGACATGTAATAGTTTTATTTTGAATACTGTAAAGTGTATTTGTTCGTATATTTTTTGGAATCATATATTCGCATAATTTTTTTATTTTCTATATATAATAGAATTTATGGGAGTTTATTTATACTTTATGTAAAACTTTTTGTTATAGTTTTTGCACAACTTTATTGAGAATATATTAAAGATGATAATTATATATATGCATTTTTCTTAAAAATATCAGAAGTATTCTTTTTATGTTTATTAGTGTAGAAGGTAATTATTTTTAACATGATATTTATATAATAAATATGAGAGATTCTAAGAATAAGATATTATGCGCTGGAATTAAAATACAGTTTATTCTAATATTTGACATATATAAAATTAATTTTGTAGCTTATCATGATTTATGAGAATATAATTATGATATATCTTTAAAAATATCTTAAACTGACATGTTCATAAAAATTTTGTACAGATTAAAAAATATTAAAAACCATATATGATATTATTTTATTTCTTTTATTAAAATAACACTATAAAGAAAAAATAATTATATATTTTAGGAAAATAAAGAAATAAAATTAATCACTTTTATGAAAAGAAAATATATTTTTACTACTAAATTTAGTAATATAACATGCACATATCACTAAATCGTTTTGTCATATGAATATATATATATATATAATTTATTAATATTATTTAAAAATTATTATATATAAATATATAATATTTAATATAGGAAGACACAAAATAAGGTATTTTTGGAAATATTTTTTTCTTTTTTTTATATGTTGTTATACGTTTATGTAGAACAAAAAAATCATACATTAAAATGCGTTCTCCTAAATTATATGA